CAAAAATTTACCTCTCGCACCTATATGAGAAACAGGAGACGACGGAGAGTCGGAATTGTATGACGCTATTTCATGGGCGTTGCCGGGGGAGTAGTCCACACCTGAACTGTTACCGACAACCTGAAACGATGCCAGTGCATCATACGATGAGACAATATAAATATAACGCATACCACAGCAGGAGAAAACTGAAGCCGCTTCTCGACACGAGGCAAATACGTTCCCTGAGAATCTCCCCTTAGCTGCGGAAGATTTTGAAAACAGCTGTCTCTGTTGGTTAGTACCGGTACTTTGTCCGCGTTGTACAAATTTGGCCTGAAGGTGTTTGGCGGGAATTCTCCTTCCGTTGGGGAACTGAAAAATTGAAATACGTTAAAAAAATTAATTAAAAATTGAGCACTAAAAAATTGAAAGCGCACACGTACGTTCGAGGTGACCGAAACGTCAAATGACGTCTGATACTTGGAAAAAACAAACTGGAACGTCGACGAGGCTTGCCAGAATCTTGACGATCGAATTCTAACAACCTTGAATAAGCGCATAATTAATAAAGTCAGCATTCATGGCACGTGTCATAAAAGTATAAATGTGCAAACTTGAAGACTTTGAAAAACGAAATTTGAGTCGTTTAGTCGGAAATTCAGTTGATAAGTGGAAAAATCCATGACGCGTCACTTGAATTTCTTAGGTAAGCATTCTCCTAAACTTTGGATACTGTACTCCTTTGTACTTTAGGTTATGTCCCTGCCTGAAGAAAGACGGAGTGTGCTGATCAGAAATGTTATATAATATGCACACAGAACCGTTCAATAGGTAAAGGAATTTCAGAATCCTAAATCGAATATCTTAAACGTTTTAGCGTGTAAATGGACGCATAGCCTGACCAAGAATGATCACAACGTGAATACGTTCATAAGCGTAATCTCAATATCAAATAAAATAGACCTCAAGCCTTAAAAACAACTCTCTCGCCATCCCACCTAGAAATTAATGCCAAAAGCCGTAATCACTGAACAACGCAAATTTGTCTTAATGAATTGTGAAAATATCTGGATCTCCAGCGGTGGGTTCTTGCCACATATCTAACTGTTCTGCGGTAAGTTAGACCGTTTGCAAAAAGGAAAGGGGGCCGAGACACTCCGCAGATCGAAACAACCCGTTAATGCACCGGTTAGTTGCGAAATTAGGAAAGAATATGATGAAATCTGCTTATCTAAGGCAAGTATGTACGATTTTAAAAGCCATTAAAAATGATAACGGTTAAAACAATATTATCTGTTCGCACGCCCGATTATATTATACAACGGATGACCCATCCAAAATCACATTTTAGCGCGACGTGGCTCTAGCGGACAAAATAATGCGAGAAGATAAAGCACTTCAGGTGTTCAATTAACATAAGACCGTGATCTGTTTAAATGCCTCGCCCCCTCCCCCCTCGCGTACGAAACTACGAGCAACGGCGTGAGGCAATACGCCGTGAAATCTGGTCTTGGAAGAGTCTATCGTTAATTGAAAAGTATACGAAAACGAGTCGGCTTGTCGTTTTGTGCATATCAATCGATATATCTATGAGACTGCGAAACGACATTAGCCTAAGTAAATAATGGAAAGTATTGTTTACTTATCCCTCGCACTTCGAACTGGCGGCTCTTTGAGAAATATCGATTCGTCGTTGCTGAGGGAAGCGGATGGCGGTTTCGGAAGGCAAATGCCGCCGTTGATATCTGCGTAGATGTTCGGAGGAGCGCTGTTGATGATCGGGCGGTAGTGAGCTTGCAATGCCTGCACCAGGGTGCCGAACAGCGAATGTTCGCGCTAAACAAGCATCAAAATCCAGAAGAAATGCCTTGACGAATAAAATCACGAACACATCAAAACACAAGAACATAACGCGACCAGTGATGTATTAACACTACCAAATTATCTGTTAGATAACAATTCGTAACTGTTTGCAGACGACCTTGTTTTGTTAGCTTCTTCTGAATCTGATCTCCAGTGCTCCTTAGAAAGGTTCACAGCCGAGTGCGACGTGACCGGCATGCGTGTGAACGCATC